AAACGATTAAAGTTATTTTTAATTTCATTTTTTCTGAAACGTTTTTCAGTATTTCAAATAAATTAAGTGAGCATTTAATATACTAAAACACCATAACCAGGTATCACGCTGTTTACAGCCTGCGTGATCGTTTAATTAAGAGAAGATGACGCATACGATCTAAATTGAATTATTTACTCGGTTTTTATGAATGAATCGCTCGTAAATGAATCAGCCAGAAGGCAGAATACGAGCGTGAGTGTCACGAAAAATAGTGGTCGAATATGTATCTTTGGTTCATTCAACAAATGATTATTTATGGGGCCAAAGAGGCGGCTTTAGCCAGTGAATTCCGGTTAAAAGTAACTCGCTGGCAAGCCGAGCTCATTAATTTTCGGGGAAAGGTCCCCCTTAAGTCTCTGCCTCGATTTTGCCGCCGAAGGTTGAGTTCAAATGGCAACCCGGCTGAAGATTTCTCAATTGTCGCTGTGGCGCCCAGAGGGTATGACAATTTAATTAATTAACGGCGCAGAACTCACTTTTCAACATGCGGTGGTGGTGGAGGGGGGGTTTAGGGCTCAAGGAAGGAAGAGCAACCTAGGAGACACACATTGACTTGGCCCCGTGGCCCCTGCTTATTATTCAGTAACCGAAAAAGCCGCAAACTGGATGTGAGGCAGCCACTTCTGTTGCTTCTCGAGTGCCACACATACCCACTCCATTCGGTGGTGGTTTCATCAATCATGGGAAGAAGTAACCTCGCCCGCAGGCGCCTAACCTAACCCTTCGATGAACTCATTGAACCTGAATATCACATTCTATGAGGGCTGGGACCTCTGCCTAATTGCATTATTTGCTGTATTAAAGTCAAATTAACGGGGGCAACATCACAGGGCCTACAATTACATCACAGTCAACTCCTCGAAATTCAACTGGTGAATGTTTAATGGGCATTTTGCTTTGATGTTTGCTGGCTATCGCATTTCCCATTTCGCCATTTAAAGCAATTTGCATTTATGTTTTCTAAAATCGAGCCATGCAGCAGCAAATAGAGTTATTACATGAAGTGGTCGTTTGGTTTTCAGCTACGGATTTCCACTGGCCCGGCTGAAAAAAGCTATTTCATAAGCGTTGCATGCCTCAAATTTTACAGCAAATAAACATTCCGCATCGCCGCATCCAATTCTATATGTATCTGTATCTGTATCCCCAATGTGTTGCCATTTCCCTTTGTGTTTTTGTGTTTTTGCGCTCGTTTTTGCATATCTGCATCCGAATGGACGCTGTGGCCAAAGTGCTGCTCTCGGTTATGTGCCACAACAATTTCGTTGTTTTTTGTTTGGCTTGACATAAATTACAGCGACAGCACGCAAAACTTCAGCACGCATATTTTCCAGCTACAGAGTTGGTTCGCTTTTCGTTTTCCGTTTTTCGGCTTTCAGCTTTCAGCTATTCGGGACACAGGATACCGAAACGCAGGCCACATCACCCAGGGCCTTTCATTGACATTCCCACCACACGGAGCGCAGCCAAACATTCGCCCGGTTATACATTTTTGTCAAATTTTGTCAATTCTTAAACCGAAACATATTTCAGCTTGCTGTCCCTGACATTCCATAGTTATGCTAATGCCAACACCGGATCGAAAGGGGGAAAAAGGGGGCGGAGGGCCACAACCTTTGGCCCCCAACGAAATGTGTCAAAGATTTACCCAACAAAAGTGTGGCAGCAGTAAATTGAATATGCCACACGTTGGGCAACAGGAAAAGCGAAAGGATATCTTGGTCAAAGACAAGTGGAAAACAAACAACAGTGCCTCATTATACAGATACATGCATATATAAATACAGCATATACATACACTAGAAAAGATAAGTGGGTAGAATTAAAAGTAAATATTGTTATATATTTAATGTATTAGTTAAATATTTGATATATTTATGAATGGCGGCAAACATGTATCTAAAATCCCTGAAACTTCATTAGCTTTAAGAAAAAAACTCAATTGAAATCAAGAACATACAATCCCTTAAACAATATTATTGAATCTAATATTTTTTAAACAAGCAATACAAAGTTTTCTACACACATTTTAGGTTAAATATAAGTTTTTTTTCTTTGTGTATCAAATGAAATAGACACTATCGAACGCGTAAACATCAATTTGCGATTAAATATTATCGTAAGTGGCGACCAAACTGGGGGCCATTCGCTGAAACACAGATCCTTATTCAAGAAAAAGGGCAGAAAAAGGGGACGAATAAAGCAAGCATACTTATTTGGGTTACTCACGCATATACAAATGTTTTCCCTGTTGTTGTCTGCGCACAGATTGCCAAACAAGTTTGGGGGAAAGTGGAAGTGAAGGACTAGACGGCAATTTGGTAAACAAGTCGGCCATGACTATATTTAGGTGTCCGTCGCGTTACAATCATAAAACCCATGCTCCAGTAATAAAGTGGACACTGGCATTGCATAAATTAGGGCAAGACAAGGGGCCACAGTCAAAGCCAAAGCCAGATTTAGGCCAAGTCGCGTATGCTGCACAATACATATCTTTACGACCCGACTCCCTCGCTTTTCCCCACTGAATAACGACGTTCCAGGGGAAAAACAAACGTGAGCTGCCCTTGCAATCCACATGAATGACTCTTTCAGCCTGCAGGCGGATATTCGTGGCGCTTGGTATGCTGCGTAAGTCGCTTTTTTATGACCTTTGGCCGCACAAATATGTGCGTAAGATACGAGAGGATGCTCCCCCCTCGCGGAGTCCATACTGAAGTGTCGCCGGGTGTAAATCATATTTACAGTGGTACTGTAATTGAATTAGGTCGTCCCCCATTCGAGAAACCTCCAACTGCTTGGGAAGAACAGAGAGCATCAAGCCAAGAGGGAATTCAATTTTAGTTGAAAGAGCACTTACTTGACCTTTTATCACCAGCTACTCGGATCGAAGAGATATATGCTGGCCTTGAGTCTTATAATCTAGAGAGAGTCAGTTTACAGAGAAACTGGGAAATATAGTTAAGCTATGCTTAAATGCAGAATATTAGATCCTTAATTCCTTAACCCCAGGTATATTTTTCTAGACATTATAGAAATTAAATAGACTCGAGACATTATTTTATTCATGTGAATAATGCAATAATAATAAGATTGCCATTTTTTACGCGTACTGTATGAGTTGCTTAATGACAACTTTTACTTTGAGTTATTGCAGTTAAGGGGAAGGGAAGGTTAAAAAAAGTGGAAAGAACGGTCAGAACAAAGGTCGCCATAAATTTGTGTTAAACCCGAAAGTGGTTACACTGCGCCATACTAAAGTAAGGGTTTTTCCAAAATTTTCCACGTGTAAATATTGTTGTCGGGGATGGCCGGGGTAAGGGTTAGATCAACCCGATCTACTGCTGCCAGACTGGAGAACTGAACTTTCGCTGTTTTCCCCAATTTAACCATTTTCAGACCTCGCCCCCTGGCGTCAGACGCCTCAAAAGATGCTCCCTATCCCCCGTACTCACCACTGCCTTCGGTCCTGCGGAAAAGTGCGTAGGTGGCGCTAACCAGGCTGCCAAGACCGACGTAACACAACATTAACAGGTCCCATTAACATTTCACTAGCGCCATCTACTTAGGTAAAATTGGAAACTAATACGTAAGAAATTATTACGTAAGACACCAGTACGTAGAAATACATGTATGATGTATGTTCCTTTCATGTAAAATTCGTGTTCAATTGTCAATCAACATTAGTTTACTCGTGAAAATTGGGAAAAACGGGAAAAGCTAAATTTGAGGATCTGGCAGCACTCGGCTTTCCACGCGGGTAACACGAGCGAATTGAAAACTGCTATGTTGGAGCTGCTTTTCGCGGAAAACTAATCGCAATGATTTGCTTCATGCTTCCAAGCACAAGATCTTTACCACGCGGAAAATGCTGGAGAAGGAAACATTTCCTGCAGAATAGACGGCGGGCTTATTTTCTGGGCCCAGTTTTTAAATTGATTGTGATGGTGTCATGGACATTTCAAGGCTGCACAAAAGTTCAGTTTAAATAAATAAATGTAAACTGATTGTATTAGTTTTACTATGCAACAAGCATTGGATCCACAGAACAATTCCTATTCGATATTTTCTGCATTTCCAAGCAGAAGCCTTTTTGGATCATGGTTAATCGATGTTGCTCTGGTAAACTGCCATGTTCGTAATTGATATTTAATCGGCGGCAATTTGAGGCCCCATTTGGAAGCGAATCCATCATGACTGTCAAACTTTATGGTCCGTGGTCATTGGTACTTCCTACCGAACTCTGGCCGAAAACACGTAGCCGCAGTGTTGCCTTTTAGAACAAGGCGTCAGGTGGCACTTCCCGTTCGAGATCTGAGATCTGAAAAGATCTAAAAACGGTGCCGCCATCGATCGATCAATACAGATATCGTGGTGATCTTGTACGATATTTTTCGTGCATTAATTGCTTTTGAATTTTGGCCTGATCCGCGTAAACAGTTTGCAATGTAGCTCACGATCACATGTCTTTCGGCCCAAAATGGAAACGAGTGCAACAGAGTTTGCCACTTTGGCCGGTGTGAAATAAATTGAGTAATTAGGCGGTGTCAGAGTCGGGACTTCGCTACGAACCCAAAGAACTGGTTTATCCCAAGATCTGTTTGCTTGTTTACCTTTTTGTCTCTGGCCAATTATTTGCCCAGTTTTAGTGTTTGTTTTTATTGCATTTCGATTAGTTTCGAATGGGTTTTGGACATATTTGTCACAGCTAATTAAAAATACGCAGCGTGGAATTTGCTTAGACTCGTTTTGGGATTTTGGCCTGGCCTAAACGTGCACTAATTCAGTTAACAAGTTAATTTCCACCCCGTCGACATTGGCAACCCTTACAAGATTACAGCCATGGCAACGCCAATGGTTCACAACAAAGTTGCCGGCGGCCAAAACAAATGCTTACCACTTTGAGTTCACTTTGAAGTTGAGCTTTTTTACCATTCCGAAGGAGAAAAGCAAAGTAATCCATGTACGAATTGGGAACGGAGCAGATCAACTGCAACGGCAGAGTCATTGAATTGCCCAGCTTGGAGGTGGTGCGTCCAGGTGAAAGGATATACTCTAAACTTTTCTCAAATTTATTTCACTGTCTCTTCTCCTTCGATTAGCCCCCAAAATGCCCAGCGATGCCAACATTGATTGGCTGCTCCACATTTATTTTACTCGCCGCGAGTTCACGCGCTGCCGCCGTCTCATCGAACGTGAGCTGAATCGCCATCTGAATCCCGAGTACCTGTACTTTGTCCAGGTGAGCTGAGGTTAATGCCGGGTGTCCCTTCTAATTGATTGCCTTCGCCAGGGCCTAATTGACCGCGAAGAGGGCAATAACATCGAGGCGCTGCGGCACTTGCAAAAATCGGTGGAGCTCAACCCGAGGAATATCGAAACTTACAAGGAAATCGGCCGTACGCTGTAAGTAAAATACTGTTTTGGTCAACAATTTGGTCACAATCGATAGTTACTACAATTACACTGCTATAACTCCAACTTTCTCTCCGGGAAGTTTGTCTTTAATCGATAAATTTATTACTGGTGATTAATGGTCTTTAAAGGAATCCATAACTTCCTTTTTTGGGTTTGAGTTAAAAAGTTTACTTTTATGTTCATGTTTTTAATTAACTAATTAAATTTACATTGTTTGCCTTTATTTTGATCAATAAGTCATTTAAAATTCTTGATGCTTTTTTCACCTAATTTAATTACCTTTTTTACCAAACAAACGTTGTGATGTCTATAACAAACATAGCCATGTTTGATCCAGACAAGCAAAAACTTCAATTAATCACCACACACTTTATTAAATTAGTGTATTTCGTTTAACTAAAACTAGATTTAGTTTCCCCTGTTGTGTAGCTGACATCCATCTTAAAATGGAATATTTGATAATGCGATAAAGTGGCAATTAAAACTTTCAAGCATGAAAGGGAACATTATGAAAGCCGGAAAATCAGTTGGGGCTTAGTCAAAAACACGAGGGAACTAACAAAGTTTGTGTGGTTGAATTTTAATAGCAAAAGCGCTTCATTTTCAGCTATATGATGGGCCGCTTTAGTCAGGCCCTTGGAGTTTTCCGCGAGGCGGAGCAGCGCAGTGGTCGGCAGGACCACGAGATATATCACTATCTGGGCGAACTACTCTATCGAGCAGCCACAACCCAGGCCAAAAAGGACATGGCCAGCCAACAGCAGGAGGAAGCCCGCGGGTACTTCGAACTAGCAGTGCAATCCGGTCGGAAACTGGAGAGCTACGTCCGTTTGGCGGAATTGTATCGCAAGGACAAACAGTACCAGAAAGCCATCGATATATTGGAAACTTGCCTGCAGTTAGTAGCTAATGACATGGCCTGCCGAGCTATTGAAACATTCATTCATTTCATTTCAGCCTGACACCCGAGAACTCGGAGGTGCTGATTGAAATCAGCGTTTTGTACCTCAAAATCAATGAGACGCAAAAGGCACACGATCGTCTGGCGGAAGTCGTCAGCATCGAAAAGAAATGCTCGCCCAAAGGACTTTTGGCCTTCGGCGCCATTTTGCAGGTAAGATGATATGGATTTTCCCCAATCTCTCATATTTATTACACAATTTTTGTAAAGTCTCGCAACGATGTGGATGGCGCCCTCAGCAAATACAGCCAAATCGCAAACGCTGAGCCGGAAATTGCCGAGCTGTGGAACAACATTGGATTGTGCTTCTTCAAGAAGCAAAAGTTCATTGTGGTAACGGAATGCCCAGGTACATCATTCGGTTCGGATTTAAATGTTTCATAATTTCCAGGCCATTTCATCGCTGCGCAAATCCGTTTGGCTCTCGCCGCTTAATTACAATGCCCTGTACAACCTGAGTTTAATTTACATTGCCTGTGAGTACTCAGAAATTTAAAGACACCGTATACATTTACTTTAACTGTATGACGGCTGTATACACATACATATGTGGGGTAGCATTTTTTCTGTATTTTCTTTATAAAGCCTTGTGACAGAATTTGCAAGATGATTTTTAAAAAGGAAATGAAAAAATGATAAAAGTTTCCCTGTATCCTATAAAAATATCTTTGTCATATGCCCATAATCTCATATGCATGTATTGAAAAAGTAACCAAAACAAAATTCATTGTTTGCCTGTGAATATATGACATGATTTTTAGATGAACGACCTTTAGATGACCAATTGCAAGAAAACAATGACTTGGAATATTGCCAACATAAGACTTCATCAGTGTTTTGGTCAATTCAATTTCCTAACAAGAAAACTAGAAACTGGCCTAATGAAAACCAGAAAAAACACAGACAGTAGAGACACTAACTATGTGAAAAGGGTGAAATGTAAAGGCAAATATTAACTTGAGGCGGGTTAGGGGGAAAACTGTGAGATGGGTTTTAATACATTTCTTAAAATTCCCAAGAAAAGTCCTAGCCGCAGGCTATTTGGCGCTACTGTTCTCCAGCTTTGTTTGTTGCCATTTCTTCCGTTAAGAAGAGCATCTGTTGTTTTTGTTTACCCCAACTGCCGCAGCTGAACAATACGCCAGTGCCTTTCACACGCTGGCCGCAGCCATAAACCTGCGCAAGGATAATGCCGAGTGCTACATGCTCCTGGGCCGTAAGTTTGAACAATGCACTGAAAAAAATAAGTTAAGCCTACTTTAGACTTGGAAAATAAGCCATTATTATTTTCGATTGTTGATTGTACTACTAAATGTGCAGGGCATTCTAATTATTTGTCATAATTCAACTTTAATTAGAATTTTGGTTTTCTTTTTAACTATTTTTAAATTATAATTTCCTCTAATTTTCAAAATTAAATAGACAATAAAAATTATAGAGTCTATTTTAAAGTCATATAAGCATTTAAAATAGATCCATTTTTCTGTTATTATTTTATATAATTAAAATATAGTATATCTTATGTTTAATTATTATATATGTAAGTGTCAGTTATATTTTAAGCTTTAAAATTAGTCTTTTAAAATTTTAGTATTTTTATTTAAACATTTAAATTCAATTAATAATTACATTTATTTGTTTATTAGGGTATTTTATGATATCAAAGATAGTTTAAGTTCCCTATAAGGTTTTATTATTATCTGAAACATTTTACCAACTAAAGAGAAACTATATTTTTTTGAGTTTACCAAATTTTTTGGACTTGGCAGTGTGTTTGCGTAAGCTGGACGATGTGGAGAACGCGTTCGTGGCCCTCGAAAGGGCCAGTGCGATGGCCACTGGCCAACAGGGCGGCGGAGGAGGTCGCAATCCTTTGGTGGTGTTAAACTTTGCCCTCTTTTGCTACGAAACCGGACGCCTGGCTTTGGCCACCGAGCAGTACAACCGATTCATGAGCCAGGCCCAGGATCTGCTGCTGCCCACGGAAGTAAGTCGACCGAAATACCATCACTCCCAGTGGATATATGCGACGGGCACGTGAATAGAAATTCCTGCGCACAATTGGCCACAGCATCTAGCAAAATTAAAACGAAATCTCTTTGGGGGTAGAGTTTCCCCCCGAGTAAAGCATAGATTTTATCCCTCTCCATTTCCTGCAGTACAAATTCCAAGCCACCAAGCTGAAATCCCTGCTGCGAATCTCGAATCAGGGCAATGGCATCCTGCTCGACTCCGCGGACTTGGAGGATTCCGATGTGGGACAAAATCGAACCGGGGAACTGCTGCCGGATGAACTGCCACTGGAGGTGAATGCCGTAGTTAGTCAGAATTAAATGTTAATTAGCGTTAATTGAAAGCAATAAACATGTGTCTTTTATGTAACTCACATCAAACATTTATTTGAAAGTGTTCACATTTATTTAGAAATAGTTTAAGCAGCTTAAATAATACATATGATTAGGTTTACAAAAGAGCCAATGTAAAATGCATTGACGTTTAACTCCAGAATCCAGTAATCGAAGTATTACCAAAATAGCATTTAATAATACCAGCCAAGAGGAAAAAACAACTAGGGGCTCGTAGAGTTTTTCTTTCCTCTTAGCTTAGCTATATTAATGGTTTGGCCTTAGTGAAAAGTAAATGTCTCGTATTTGTACAGCTTGTACTGCCTTAGCCTAGCAAAAACTTACACACTAATATGAAATTGAAACACCAACTGGCTAACGTAATTAAGTTGGAAATGAAATGGCACTTTCAAAACAGCCAAATCACAAGCAGAATCAATTTTTGAACCGATCAATGCACCAATCAATCTAAAGACAAATCTTCTTGGACAACGAAAGTAAATTAATAGTGCATCGATCAGTGTGTAGATTAATCCCGCACTCACAGTTTCTTTTTTCGTTACTCGAGTAAACGAAACTTTTATAAAGTTTATAATTTAGAAATTCAAATGGAGCCAGCCCGGGACATCTTGGATGTCCTTCACCTAATCCCCGTAAATCTGTTTCCTCAAAATGATCCTTCCTTTTGATCCTACTCATAATCACATCTCGGAGACTCTCTTCCCAGACCAAACTTAAACACAAGTCGTGGTAACTCGTGTTAGCCTGGTCATCTCGGTGCTGCCAAAGTGCCGCTTCATGAAGAGCGATCTGAAGGTGGACCGGAACTGCTTCGACATCAGTCCGTAGAGCACGAATCCTACGGCGGCATTGATCAGGGCCAGGAGGTCCATCAGTTCGCCAAAGGGCGGATAGCAGTGGGCGAAGAAGCACTTCTCCATCACTCCGGACAGCAGACCCAGTAATCCCTGCGGGAATTCGGTGATCAGGAACAGAACCAGTACTGCCACCAACAAAAGGGTAGTCCGATCATTGCGACGATCGCAGCGAGGAGGCCTGAAACGAGGGAAATGGAAACAATCATCAAAATAAGGGACTCTTCAATAAATAATCATTGAAAACTATAAATATTCCTATGGGGTTTCCTATTATACTCTTTACGTTACTTTTTCCAATTCGAATCTTTTTTAAATATTACAAATGTAAAATTAATTGTACCTGCAATAAAATACAGTTATGTAATAAAATATGTTTGCTTTATTTCTGTTCTTGCTGAGTAAATGCAAATAAATCTGCTATTATTCCTTGGTGAAATATTATTTTTCTTATGAATGCGTGACATACAAAAATGTAAATAAGCCAACTGGTTGAATCTTAGATATTTTAAGTCATTCCCCTCTCAAATCAAGTACAATGTAATTCCCTTGAAAAATTTTGTATAAATACTGAGAAATATAAATCACATTGAAAAAGTCCTTGGACATTTAAAGACAACGTAAAAAAAATTCCCCCTCATACCATTTACAAATACCCAGAAATCTAAATCAGGGCCAAGGAGTCCATAAACTGTGAAGCTTTGAGCATGTCAAAGACAAACTACAGGACTGACATTATTGACTGGTCAAGTGGAAACTGGTGAAGAGAAATCTGGTAAACTGGAATGTGTGTTTGGGGAAATAAAAATGCTTATGCCGAAAATAACATGAGCCCAACAGGATCTCAAATAAGCTTCGCAATTTGCAACTCATAACAGCAGATGTTCAAACATCAACCAAAAAGGAAATAAAAGCAATTGACAAAAATACTTCACTACAAAATGCAAGGGAACGAGCACTTTAAATCCACACGTAAATACATTTTAACGATTTTTTCAGACCCTTAATTGGAAATTCAAAAATGATGACTCAAAAACAATATTTTTTTTATTTACAAACTGTAAGCTTAAAGTTATAAACTAAAGTTATAGCGCGGGTTAGCGGTTCCTATGGCTTTTGGCCGACTTCTTTATGTTGTGCATAGTAATAGGATTTATATTAGTTTAATTAGGGTCTAACTTCAGGTTCTGTCTATTTTACAATGTTGAGTTAAAAGTTTGATTGTATTTCGTTTAATTCATTATCATTTGATTAATCTATAACTAATACTATATGATTTAATGTTTATAATTGCGACACACTAGTACTCACTTCTTGGACTTGGCTTCGTTCAGGTTGAGCTGGATGGCATACTTGGCAGGATTATTGTAATCCCTTAGTTTTAGACGACGTCTCGAGGCCTCGCACAAAACATGCATGAGTACTGCACTGATCACGATCAAAATGCCGCATGGCAGAAGTTTGATTAGCACGGAATGTATCCAGAAATTGAACCTAAAAAACAAAGTACACAAAAAAGAAATATCAGTCAAGATGAACAAAGGACTATCTAGAAGTGTGTGATGTAAGTATTATAAATACTTAGTATTTTTGGTATTGTCAGTACTTTTAGTATTATTATTACTTAGAATATTTCATCATTTAAACCGGGGATCTCAGCTTATACAATATGGATAATCCTTTGAGTTCGGCTCACATCATCTAAAACCCACCTGTAGAGCACCGAGTCCTTGTCGAAGTAGACGTGGTACATGGCCTCCTCATTGGCCTTGTCCACGTCGTAGGTCTCGCGCACCTTGAACACGAAGTACGTGGGCAGGCAGAGGATCGGGGACAGGATGAAGGGCAGGAGGATCGCCTCCCGGGAATGTGCGAGCAGGAAGTTGGCACAGCCCCCGTTCGGATGTCTGTGGAATAGAGACGGTAACATTTGGCTATAAACAAAAGACGGGGAAGAGAAGAGAAGCCACATTGCCACATTGATGTGTTAGTCAGATTAGCCGGATGTCTGTTCGAATTGCGGATGTGGATTAGCATGATTGGTATGAATCGGTGCCCAACTCTACATGGATGACGGGGAATCTGAATCCCAGGGAATATAGCATGCATATAGCATGCAAAGCAGGCTGAAAAATCCCCTCACCTGATGGCCACATATCGCCACACCGCCAGTGTAACAGTCAATCCAATGGAAATCGTATGCAGGATCTGCGTGAAGTGCATGTGGACCAGCAGACAAACCGCCCAGGTGTAGCTCAGATCTTTTTCACCTGTTCAGATGAAATTAATTACATAATTGGTCAGGAAAGTTTACAAGTTTAGCTCTTTTTTAAAAATCAAGCTAAAAAAACACTCTTAAATAACACTTGTTTGCTCACAATAATTTTAATTAACTTTTTTAAGTGTCTCTGGCTTTAGTTTTAAATGAAATATTTCAGGCTTATGAACAAATATTTATAATAGATGAACTAAGCTGTTAAAATGGCATTGTTTGCCAGAGAAAAATAAAAAAAAAACACAGCTCTAATGATAATTAAATTATTTTTCGCTTACCTGGACCCATATAAATATACTGATACGATGTGTAGGGTATATATTCCAGCATCACGAACATATCGGCCACCGCCAACCACTTGAGGATATTATTTATGGGCGTCTTGGCCATTTCCTTTCTCGTGAGGACCATTATGTTCAAGATGTTTGCTATTGTCCCGAATATGCAAATCTATGTGATTCAAGCAAATAACGAAAAGCAACACAAAATCTGTTATTTATAAAACCGAAAGTTTGAGCGTTCACACACTTCCAATTGAATGGACTTCCCCATTTTTCCCCTTCGATGCCAAAACGTTTGAATGTTTTATTCATTCAGCTCGGCTAGCAACTGACTTGGTCCGTTCTTTTTACATTTTTCCCCCAACATTTTCAATTTCCCTGTCATCTGCCAAATGGAACTGTTGCCAACTGTTGTTGTCGAACTTTGGGTTACTAAGTTCTGCCTCTTTGTAGAGCTCAACTATGTCTTTTTTTCCTTCTATGCTAATGAAATTAAATTCCGTAAGCAGAAAATAAAATTATTTAGAGAGCAACTGATTTACAAAATGAATCCTTTTACGAGAAAAGGCTACCCGTTCATTAGCCTTTATCCCGTCTGAAAAGACAAAAAAAAACCTAATGTCTGGAAATTAAAGTCTGAAGGAAATCAAATTAACGCCTCAACCACAACCACATCAAATGTAATTTGTATCCCTTCAAAAAAATCGTTTAAAAGCAAGGAAAGAGAAAAACAAAAGATCCTGATTTAAGGCCCTTAATTTGATTTGAAATGTTGATGGTTAAACTGAGCGCACAGAGTAGCTTTAATTCAGAAAAAGGACCAAATTCCCAGGAGTTGGGTAAGAGTTCAAAGGTGAAGCAGTCCCTTGAATTTATCAGAGAACCTTTCTCGGCTGCATTCATGAAACGCCTTTGCCTTTGCCTTTCCCTTCTTATCATTAGTCAAAACTTTCCTTTGCTTTTCCCCCATATGAAATTTCTGGGGGATAGTTAGATTGAACTTACCATCAGGGAAACGTATCCATGAATGCTGTTGTAGGCTCGCAGCCAGTTGTAGATTTCCCCCTGACAGTATCCCTGGCATTCGTCCACCTGTGAGGATGCGTTCTTCATCTGGAACTCATGCCAGTACTTCAAAAAGTTATCTATATCGTTGCTGGTCAATTTGTAGCCCTTTAAAACTGTGTCGTTGAAGGGTTTGCGGGGCTCCAAATGGGTCTGGCCCACGTTACCGATGTCCTGCATCATTGCAGCCAGATAATTGATTTTCATTCGTGATAAATAAACTGCTAATCAGAGGCTGAAACAAAAGGAAAAGGGAAAGGTTGTATTAGACAGAGAAAAAATCTAATAAGGAAATCGTTAACTTGTCAGAATTTCTTTTGAAATTTCCTTACTGTTGGAGAATTCAAATTTTGTTTTCAAATGATTTTTTATGTCTTGTTTAAAAAGTTATACTTTTACTTAATGGAAAAAAACTTTGTTTACATTTTATACCTTCCTTATTTTCTGATTTTTCGCTATGTGCATGCTTTTAATTAGTTAGCCTACAACTAAAGGGATTCTCCCCGTGAACCAAACACATGCTGAGTAAATATAATACATTTTTGTGGCTTACCAGACTCCCTGCCAACAAAGTTTAGTTTATTAAAACGGATAGGTATTCTGTGACCTTATTTGTGAAACTATTGCCTGAGTGATGACATTGTCATGCTGCCTGATTGACATTAAAATTTGCATCCCTCGACGACATGTAAACAATATGGACTATTGAAAAACTCTGATTTTCAAACATAAACCTTGGCAGCCAGTTTTCTATGCCATTGCACAATTATGGATATGCGGTGGCGACATTCCGAGCGAGTGCCACCGCAACTGTGCAGCATAATTAACAAAAAGTAATGCAACTTTTGAGTGGCCAAAGTGGAGCTGAGCACACCTGTCCAACTGTTCAACTGTCTACCTGCGATTCGAAAATGCCTGGGCGTTGTAGGCAATTAATTGGCAACGCACTTAGAGAGAAATCTAATTCGCTGTAAATGCAGGTCCAGATATACACAGAGATATATATCGGATATTTGTGGGTAATAAGTTTATTGCACATTCTCCAGTCCAACCTATGCTTTTATATTTTATTTTATTCTTATTTATACTGATTGGTTCTGCTTTTTAATGCTCCAGGTTTAGAAATATACTAAACAATTGTTGTAAATTGTGTTTTTTATTACATTTCTTTATTGATTGGTTTAATTTTTAAATTCTCTAATATAAATGTTATATTTATTTTTTATTGTGCAAGAGCTATGTCCACACAGCCGACGGTTGGCATATGACACTGCTACCCAGATCACTCAGTTGGCCGAATCAAAGTCGATGTGTCCACATGTCGTCAAAGGTGTTGCATTTGGCTAATGGCCCCGACGAATCTGAATACAAATCAGAATCCTGTTCGCAGCTCATTTCGCAACTCCACCTCTTTGCCACACGATTGCAGTGCCACATGTGGTACGCATATTTTTGAATTACTAGCCCGGTTAAATGTTGTTTTACTGATCAGCAACTTGACTGCCAGTCGAACCAATTTCTGTCAGCTTTTTTGATTTTGATCGATTGGCCTTTCGATTACGTCAAACGCATACATCTGTTGAGGGCAATTATTCGTTATGGCCTCCGAACATTCAATCAAAATGAAATCGGTACGCAAAAAACCATTTGATTTCAGTGGGTATAAAATCTCCTTGCCACATGTAATGAAAGGGACTTTTTTGCGGAAATTTCGTTAAAAGAGGATATGACATTTATTAATATCCGCTTAATTCGTTTACCGCTATGTGCAGTAATTATACGAAGGTTAAATACTGTGTTATTTAAGCTTTGTGGACTATTTATGGACTTGCTCTAATAATATAGTATTTTTTACTAAAATTGTTATTTTAATTATACTATGTATTCACTTAATGAGCGAATAATCATCTAGCATTTATTTAAGATTTTTTGAATCAACTAATATATTTAAATATATACTTAATCAGCATGTAAAGAAACACTAGCTTTATTAGCGATGAATTTTCAGACCCCTCAGCCCATATAGCTTATCTGTTACCATAAGTTGTTTTGTATTCACAATTACGTGACCTTGAGAAATGTGTCTAAACAGGTGGCGCACCCACAAGAATCCAACCCAACCACCCACCAGAAAAGAAAATGGCGCCACCAACTGACATCTGCAGATAAACCGCGATGGCGCCCCAGGCTTTTCCTTTTGCTGATGCTGTTTCTCTTTTTCTGCCATCCGCCAGGCCGTTAATTAACGTTCCGCTTGTCAAATGTGTGTACACAGAGAAAAATCAAAAAGGTTTCATTTAAAATTAATACAAAAATACAAAAAAAAATAAAAAACAATATAGAAATTCTTGAATATATAAACCTATATTTTTTATAAATTATGACAGTGTCTTTTCCCTCAGTGTACATACATTTCTATGCCTGTGTTTCCTTATTTTTTATTAGCACATTTCACGGTGGTAAAATGGATAGAGGACGCAGGACTCTTATCAAATACAGCTCAGGCCGTATAGAATCCCGCTGGGCCAATTGACTCAACGGTCCCACAGCTTTTCACTTCCAGGCATTTGTGGCCCATAACAGGGCTCAATTATTAAGGCCATTAAATAGCTGCAACTACCACATAAACGCTCCAAGCAACAGGGACTTTATCGGAATCCCCTATACTCCACCTTTAAGTGCTATTTTCAATTAGCCAAGGTAAACACAGTAGCAACCATTTGTTGCTGTCGCCGTTAATTAAATTCGCAATGATATACAAATTGTTCAAAATATAATGGTTCAACTCATAATAGAATTCAGACTCATTGAAAATTTATTACACTCATTTGTCATTGTCTTTGTGGAACAGCTGCATGGAAAACCTTGTTGCAATATTTTCCATAGATTATAGACAGGATAAATGCCAGCTTGTTTGTTTATGCTGCAGCCCATTTTACCAATAGAAAACCAAAATGAATTTAAACATTAATTCTGGGCTTTATTTTACATGCAGAGCTTATGATTGAATAATAAATTACCTCAGTTTGTACTTTGCATTGGGTTAAAAATTGCAATTTAATGCTCAGCGATTGTATTGAATTCAAAAAATGTAATCCGAGTTAAACTGCAATAATTATTACAAGGGAAAATATCGGAATTAATTATTTATTTAAATCGTTTTGCAAGTTAGTTTACATTTTATAGATATTTTTTACACTGTTTGAAATGTGCTAATGAAAATTGCCACAACTATAATTGTTGGCAAAAAGCCATTTCCACAATGGTTCACAAGTGGCCAGCCAAATAAAATGATGGTTATTTATGGTTTTGGCATTTAGTAATTGGAATTATTGAGATGATCTTTCGGAGCACCGCAGCTGCCGATAAATTATGGTGGCAATCGACACTCAAAGTGAGTACTCCAAATAATTTGCTGAATTAGAAACCAATTTATGTGGACTGACTGTGGCGTTCTGCCAGATACTTAGATACTTAGATACTCAGATACACTCAGCCCCACTCGCACACAAGTATCCATTTCTTGAGTCACTCGGCTTGTTTTTTCAATTTTGGCTTGATGTGGGCATATTTTTCTCGATGAGTATCTTGTGCGATTTTTAGCTTATTTTTGGGCCTAAATAGTTTTTGCCTAATGAGTGCGTTTGACTTAGTTTTGAGTGAGTTTCTAACAATCCACGCACCGCTCGACGAATCGTATAAATGCAGTGGTTCTGACTGCCAGCGTCGTTAGTTGAATTAAAGCCAGTGCGCGAACAGTTTCAAGACGCTTCAACCATAAATCATACATAGACAAACAAAATGAAATTCACTGTAAGCTAGAATGGCATAGTTGAGTAAATACTTTTCGAAAACGTCTAATATTCCTGCATTTCTTTCCTGCTCTCTTGCTCATTAAACGCTAATGGAAAATTCCTGGAAAAACACCAAAGCTACTTCTGCTTGTGGCCAGCCTCGCCTGTATCCTGGCCGCACCTGCTCCCGCCGCCGAGGAGCAGCAAGAGTCCTCGGTGAAGGCCAAACGGGGCTTGTCCTTGGGACTGGGCTACCACCACGCCCCCCTGGTCACCCATTCGCACTACATCTCCGCCCCCACGGTGGTGCACCATGCCCCGATTATCTCGCATGCACCGCTCATCTCGCATGCACCGCTCATCGCCCACGCCCCCCTGATCGCCCACCACCCGGTGTCCTCGCTGTCGTACCACCTGCCCAGCTACCACTCCATCCACCACTTCTAAACAAGTCCGCGGAGCAGCAGCAGCACCATCAGCAAAACACCTTATTCCGCGGCAACAATCCCACAACTTCAAATTTGCATCGGACTTCCTCCCCCAAATTCGCTCTGTTGGCTTTGTAAATAAACATTGAGGTCGAGCCAGTGTGGTTGCCTTTAAGTTTGCCTTTAAGTCTTTGGGGCAGAGACTAACTTAGTATCCTTGACATACACGGAGGAGAAATTCGTGTTATAAAGCAAAAGAAAAACAAAAGATTTCTTAATCTTAAACACACTTTTCCCAATCAACTCACGCAAAAGAAATAGGAAAAATCACAACTATTTGATAAATAGAAAAAACCTTAGTAAGAATAGTTGCAAAATATCTAAGCCACTAAAAGATCTGAAAACTATATAAGCATTTTTAAAAATGAAATTGCTCTTTACTTATATTTAATCTTTAACCAGTTTCAAAATAAACTTAAAATCGAATCTATTATATTGTTTTCAAAAACAAAAAATTGTTCAAAAATTGAAAATTATATTTTATATATCATATAAAATAATGTGTTCTTAAAAAACATTTATTGAACATCTCGTAATACATACCACGCCGCCTTAAAACTCACTTCTAATCCATTTTGAAAGAATAACCATGTAATACCATACAACCTTTTTCTTATTGTCAAATATCTTACACACTTTAGATGGCTACTTCCTTTTGTTTTCCCTGTATGTAAGCTGCAATTCTGTTTGACTGGGGGGAATGGCAAATATAATCCCTGCAGTTAAACACTCGTAATTGGGGTCCGCATGCGACATTATAAACATTAGCCTGCACAATGATGGCCATGATTGTGGGGCAATGCAATGCGACGCCCCTAACAAAGCATTAAATGCTCTCATTTCGTAAAACCCAGCTTTGGCGACCACTTTAGGGGACTTCAATGGAAACCATTTTGGTCTACAAAGCTGCGCCACATGTAATGATGCACTTGTAGCCAACGGACAATTTATATTAATATTTTATGAAGCTTAGTTCATTTGCACTCTCTGTGGTTTTATGGGGATGGATGCCCCAAGCTGCCATTCAATGAGCATCGTAAATTAACTTCAGCAGCTTGTAAAGTTCATGTTGCGAATGGCAAGTGGACTCAGCAGCAGAACAAACTAATAAAGTCAAAATTATGAAATTTCTCAAAGAACTCAAGGAATTGGATGGTTTCTAGGTTATAATTAACACTGGATTTTGAATGCTGTCGCTTGCCTTCTTGACAAATTTATTCTAAATTAATTGTGTTTAACTTCCTTTTCAATTCGTTATAAAATTTCCAATAGATTGGCATTCACAGCTAAATAAATTAATTTTAGTCGATTTTTTGCAAAAAAAACTTGAACTTATCAAAAATGCCAAAATCCGGATATCCGGAAAAACCCACTTTTATTTCGGTTTTTCGATCAAAACAATAGGAAATAATGGTCTGATATTGGAATGTCATACCTCGTTGAATTCGTTATAAAATTTCCAATCGGATGGCATTCACAGCTAAAAAATTTCAAATCAGTCGATTTTTGGCAAATATGGATGATGTAACCCCTTATCAAAAATGCCAAAATCCGGAGATCCCGAAAAACCCACTTTTATTTCGGTTTTTAGATCAAAACCCTGGGAAATAATAGTCTGATGTTGGAATGTCATACCTCGTTGAATTCGTTATAAAATTTCCAATCGGATGGCATTTACAGCTAAAAAATTTCAAATCAGTCGATTTTTGACAAATATTCATGATGTAACCCCTTATAAAAAATGTGAAAATCCGGATTTCCGGAAAAACCCACTTTTATTTCGGTTTTTTGATCAAAACCCTGGGAAATAATGGTCTGATGGTGGAATGTCATACCTCGTTGAATTCGTCATAAAATTTCCAATCGGATGGCATTCACAGCTAAAAAATTTCAAATCAGTTGATTTTTAGCAAATATTCATGATGTAACCCCTTATCAAAAATGCCAAAATCCGGAGATCCCGAAAAACCCACTTTTATTTCGGTTTTTAGATCAAAACCCTGGGAAATAATAGTCTGATGTTGGAATGTCATACCTCGTTGAATTCGTTATAAAATTTCCAATCGGATGGCATTTACAGCTAAAAAATTTCAAATCAGTCGATTTTTGACAAATATTCATGATGTAACCCCTTATGAAAAATGCAAAAATCCGGAGATCCCGAAAAACCCACTTTTATTTCGGTTTTTAGATCAAAACCCTGGGAAATAATATTCAGATGTTGGAATGTCATACCTCTATGAATTCGTTATGAAATTTCCAGTCGAGTGGCATTCACAGCTAAAAAATTTATTTATAGTCGATTTTTCGCAAAAACTGATAATGTAACCCCTTATAAAAAATGACAAAATCTGTAAAAAAAATATTTTTTTCAAAATAAACCAGGAATTGATAGTTTAGGTCCTCAGCTGCATGAAGTAGTAATTCTTTTGTCTGTGCGTCCTATATGGCACTCGTTAGAACAAAATTAATATTTCAAAAGTGGCGATTTGAGTTGAACTTTTTTGAATAATACTTTGGTAAATAATGGTCAAATGTTCAACTGTCATACCTCGTTGAATCTGTCATAGAAATTCTAATCAATTGGCATTCGCATTCTGCATAAATAAATAAATAAACGAAAAAACCAAAGTTTGTGCAAACACATTCACATTAAATTAAAGTCGGTAATATCAATTTGCCATAAATCGAACCTTTTATTTTATTGTTTGCTTACTTATTCAGTTGGAGAAGTTTACAAATAGTTGCAACTTTCACTTATTTTATTTTGTATTTATTACAAATGTGATTTATTTGCACTGATTTCATTCTACAGCTAGGGGAAACTTAAAATCGTTGATTAAAACAGAAGTCCGCAACCGCACCATGATTCTAGTCCGAGAAGCTGTCGCTCCAGTAGGTGGTGGTTGGTGGGGCCACGGCCTTGAAAAGATCCCGACCTTCGCCGGGTCGACGTTTTCCCATGTTGCTGTTGTTTCCCTGGCCGTGCGATTGGACGTGTACATGGCTGATGCGCTCCTCCTTAATGCGCGGCTCCTGCTTGATGCGTGGCTGGTCCTCCTTCATGCGAGCCGGCTCCTCCTTGTGCCGCTGGCAGCCGGCGGCCTGGTGGCGCTGCAAACGCTGCTGCGTGAGGAAGGTGCGCTGGCAACGCTTGCACTCGTAAATAAATCCATGCTCGTCGTGCCGCTGGGCCATGTGGTGCTTCAACTCGGCCCGCAGACGGAAGATCTTGGGGCACAGCTCGCAGCGGAAGTGGGCGCGCTCCTGTTCGTGCCGCTGCATGTGCGTCTTGTAGGCCCACTCCACCTTGAACTTCTTGCCGCAGATGGGGCACGCATGCTCTATCCTCTCGTGCGTCTTGCGGTGCAGCACGTAGGACTGTTTGCGCGAAAAGGTCAAGTCGCACTTGGGGCACTCGAATGGACCCACGGCAGCCCCCGGCGATGGCTGGTACTTCTTCTTCTGGGCGCTGGATGGCTCTTCATCGCTCTCCGGACTCCTCTTTAGCGGCTTCTTACGCGGACGTCCAGGACGACCGGGCTTCTTTTTCTCCTTCTTCTTCTCACTAACATCGGAGTCCGCGGAGTCGCTATCTGCACTCGTGGTGCCGCCCACATCGGATACCTTGAACTCATCGTCGAGTTCATCCTCATCCTCGCTGGAATCGGTGACGGGTGCATCGATGACCACATAGCCGCGGGGCCTTCGCACCTTGTTCTTGCTCCTAGACAGGCGCTTGCGCAGGTCTTGGTCCGTGGTCTCTAGCTGCTTCCTCAGCTGTATGGCTATGGTGAGGCTGCCCATGCACTTGGTGCATATGAACTGCGGCATAAAGTCCTTGGGCAAAATCGAGACACTAGGACAGATGACCAGCAGCATGTCCGCGGGCGTGGCATCGATTTGCTTCTTGAACAGGTCGACTAGCTCCTCCTTGCTGGTGCAGACGCGACATTGGTTCTCGTCGACGGGCTCCTCTTTCTTGCGCTCCCGAACGGGAGCTACATCTCCCAGCTCGCCGGGTTCATCGCCGGTGATTAGTTCGCCCTCGGCATCGGTGGCGGTCTCGAATTCTTGGTCAATTTCCTCTCCTTCTTCGGTGGGCTCTTCACCTTCTTCGTTGGGGTCTTCATCTTCTTCGATGGGTTCTTCACCTTCGTCAATGGCCGATTCATCGTCTGGCCCAGCAGGTTCTTTTTCATCGTCTGGGTCAGCTTCCTCCCCATCCTTTTCGGCTGGTGTATCTACTTCCATCTTGTCTGGGCTGCCTTCGCCAGCTTCTCCACCCGAGGGCGTTGCTTCCTTCTCTTGCTCAGTATCTTTTTCTTCTTCCTCTCCAGACTTCTCCTTTAAATCTTCTTTTTCAGCTGCAGTGTCGGGTAAATCCTCCTTATTGGTTGGTTCGTGACCGGCTGGTTTAGTCTTCTCGCCCTGCGAACCATCTAATCCGTCGCTTTCGTCCTCCTGGGGCATCTCACCTTCCAAGTACTCCGCCTCGCCCATTTCCGCATCCTGATCCTGATCCGCAGTTGCGCCGCCATCCTCCTGTAAAATTAAAGAAATAAACCATAAAGTCTAAGGGTTCTTGACGCCTTTTTCAAGCCAGCCGCACCTCCAGGTAGTCTATAATCTGACCCACGGCTCCTGAGACGCCATCTTCGGCGGAATCCAAGGATTTGGCCAGCTCCTGTGGCTGTTGCTCGGGATTTCCAGCACTTTCGCGGGGATTTTCGCGCTGCTCCCCATTCGTTTCCGCCAAGGGCGTTATGTCGGCTTCCATTGTAGCTTTATTTTTGCTTATTTCTCTCAAGAAATGTTTTCAGGGGGCGGGGGTGTCTTCTTTTTTTGGCGGGGCACCGGCGACTTTTCGGTTTTTCACTTTTTCCTGCGAATTTCTTAGCGCGCACTTGTTTGTCCGGAAGTTTTCGACTTCCTCTGCACTTATTCACATTCCTGGCACTTTTCTATTTGGGTTTTCGAGCGGAAAATGCACTTCGAGTTGCAATTTTTCACAGCGTTACATTTTTTTACTTGCAGCCATATTGGATAAGTATAGGTACACAGCTGTTTGTCATCGCCTATCGATACTCATGCGCATGCTCGCTGGCAATCGATAACAAGTGCAGGGCTGCATGCAAGGCGCGCAATTTCAAAAGGTGTGACTTAGAGAGACTACAAAAGGTGACCAAGCTAAATGTTTTAGACTTCCAGAAATCTGCAATAAATCATAAAACCATAATAAAGGTCTAAGTAACCCATATTTAAGGTGCAACCATTATTTCCATTTTTTAAAAAAGGGCCAACGCGCGTGTTTGCAATAAAAGTGGGCCAAAAGGCCTACGCATATATAGCCCACCCACCCGAAAGCATCTGCTTGAAACAAAAAGCATGTCGTCTTGACTTTTGAACACGGCGAAATAAAAATTACGTGATTTGCATAATATTTCCGCCCGCTGTTGTGCGCATTAATTTGAGAAATGCCTTCTTTTCTTACATCTGAACATCAACCATTCAACACTTTGTTTTTCCCTTCTCCGCAGATTTCCGCGGCACTTAGTCTGGCTTTTACAATGTCGTATTTTCCCCAAATGCCGAGAATTACTCAGAATGGCAAATATTTCCATTATAATCAATTCCCATTGCAAGAGCGGCAGCCACTTTATTTTTGTTTGCCTTTAAATAAGCAAACACAAAACACATTTCAATAAAGTGCCACCCCCTCAATTTCCACCCAACCAAAAATCTTGGATGCCACGAACTTGATATTTATTTCAATTATGTGCTGCGGCCACCAAGAAATATGTCCGCGCTAATGCGCCCGATTTTCCGGATGTCACTTTCCATGTTTCAGAAATGGCGACAGGTCCTTTCAATACACTGTCACAATTGTCAACAACCTTTGTTAAGGATTTGGTACGGCGCTGGAGATTTTAAATTCACTTAAAAATGTGTCTAAGCCACGATAAACGTGATAACACAGTAAATACAGAAGCAAAAAGATGAACTTTTCTCAGATGATTTTTAAACATCTTTAAGTGAGAATTTAAACCTCTAACAATAACGTGCATATTTGAAGTGAATTTTTACTCATTTATTGACAACATTTAAAAAGTTGTTCTCTTATGTTACAAATATGACTAAATAAGAAATGTTTTTGTAATATGTTTATTTTTAACGATTATATCCTTGTACATTAAGTTTGTTCTAGTTGTAATTTAAGCTGGTTTCAAAAGATGTTTTTAAAGTTCGGCGTTTAGTAAGGATTTATTAAATTATATTTTAAAGCTGATTTTTCGAACCACAACTTATTTCTTCTATGGTGGATATGCTGCTTCCTTTTGTCTGTCTGAGCCTTATTTCTGTTGCTCTTCTGCATGATTTACGTCAACAATTATCGCAGCAAGACGTGCTCGGGAACCTACTTGACATTAACATCGTTTTCCCGGCTTGGTTTTACCTTCTCCTCCTTTGGCCTTCCTCTTGGCTCGGACCAAATCGCTCATGACACCAGATTGCAGCGACGGAGGCCGGCGGAACCCAAGTAAAAAGATAAATATAGCGGCTAGGCGTCTGTGGCAGTGATAAAAAAGCACGGCCATGTCAACCGGCACATACAACATACAACACACAACACACAACAGTCGGGCACAATTCAACTCCCGTCGGCGTCACTTTGTGATTAATTATGCATGAACGTCGCATCCCAAAGACAAACAGAAAGCATATGGTCCTAGGGGACGGATTTTAAGCCACCTGCGAAAGGCTCTTTATGCACGAAGGATACTTCCTTCAAGGTTTGTGCACTTTAAGGAGCGGATTACGGAAAAAATGTACTTTTAGGCAAGTTCAGTTTAGAAGAAGAGATTTTTTAAAAAACCAAATTGCCAATATGTATACAGTAAAGAGGAATATAAGACATATTTCGGTCAAAAATGATAATGCTATTTTATGATAGCTTTGGAACTCTTTAATGCCTGGTATAACTGTCAGATTTAATTTTATTTCTCCGGGTAATTATACGCACACTTGTAAAAGCAGTTATAATAATTACAAAAGTTATCACACAAATCAACTTGTGACACAACAATTAAAAAAGAATGTTATTATGAGATGCTCCGGGCCATTATATTATTACCAATACATACAGGTGAGCAGTCAGCTTTAAATAACTTAAAAACCTGAATATGTTGTCAAGGAATTTAAAAAACATAAATTCGTTCGCATCTTCCTGAGTTTCAAAAGTAATCAACGTCGACATATTTCCAACATTTAGGTTGAAAATTGTAATTTCCATCCAAGCCTCACCTTACATTTTTGACAAACTTAAGTTCTGTGCTTGGCTGTTACACAATATTGTCATATTTTGGGACAAAGCTACAGTAATATGAAAAGTTTGTGGGTAAAAACCGCATTCGCAATACTTCTGCATGCTGACAAAAATGCTAGGAAATTTTTAATTGGATGATTTTCATATGTCACAAAATCAAATTCAGCAAGTAGAATGTCAACTGTCAACATTTTGATTATAAGCTTCTTCAGAAATAAAAACAGTTTTCCAGGCAGGAAGCCTTTAAACATTTTCCGTCAAAAAACGTTTAAAATGGCGACACATCTATTGCAGCACCGAATTACTGAGCCACTTTTGTCATAATTAAAGACTCATAAGCAACCATTTATGATAATTGGAAAATTACAATATAGGGTATTAAAATGAAACCATGAATTTAATTAACTCTTTGATGCTGGTAATTTAAATGGTAGTAAGCGGTTAATTATCTTTGTTACAAACTTGTGCCCAAGTACAACATATCCTCTTACTTTGTGAGTACAGGATATAATAGGCCAAAGCAATTTTCTCAAGATGTCGCGAGGGCATTGATGTCTATGGCAACCGGAGTTCATCACAGTAATAAAAGTTGGCCCACAGCAAGCACAAGATAATCAGCCTGCGGACTTTAAATGTTTAATTAAGCTGCTAAGTTCCTAACTTTTTTCTTATTTTTGGTCCTAATTATACCGTCTGTCTGAGTGAAAAGAGCAATAACATGACTGTGATCAAACAGTGGCACTCAGTAAAATAAGTAAAAAACAGACATTAGCATTTGTCTAATAAATATTTGTCACAGTATATGATGATTAAATTTCATAAAAAACAAACTTGTGCCACCATGCCGTTTTAAATACCAACCTTTAATTATATACTTACTTCAGTATAATTGAAGTAAAGAGAACCAACAGATGGAAACCATCTACGCAATTTAATCTTGAATGTAAAGGTACCAGCGTAAAGATAAGATTTCATTGAGGCTCTTGGCTTTGACTCACTTTGCATTTTCTGCCATCAGTTAATTAAATGGCTTGAAGACCTATTCTTCATCGTTTCATGGCTGACAATCGGATGCTTTAATCTTAAGGTATAAGCATTACTTGCAAGATTAAAAAAAGGAATTTTTATATCGACTAATATATATGTTTCAATACATTGCTTAAAGCCGCCAAACAAAACTTTAATTTTGATATCGACTAATATATATGTTTCAATATATTAAGTATATTAGGTCCGCCAGTGAATCATCTTGTTAAATTCATACAAAAGTTTACCCAAAGCCAAATGTTAATATACGTGAGGCTTATGAATTAATTCCTGTTTCGTCAGTGTCTGGGGAAATGCAAATGCCATTCCGTTAAGTTGCCTTGAAGTTGTTCAGGCTCATATTAGTTGGCCAACTTTTCGCCAGAAGCTTACAAGCTGCCAACAAAATGAACTTTCCAATAATGGGATTTCCGCCTGCCAGCTGAGTGTGTCTGATCCATCATTACAACACGTCTCCGACAAGGTAATAAATCTAATTTGCAGACGAGTATCGACACGTGTACTCATACCAGCTCACAGCTCAAAACACTTTAAATATTCTATGATTGACTTGTACTTCCAGAACACAATTTGGTTTTCTAACGAGAGATATGCAAAAATCCAATTAAAATGCACCACTGGCTATTATGAAAGTGCATTGACACATCAGTCGATTAATCAACATCAACGAGGGATACTTGTACATAATTAAACAGAAAACATTTTCTTGTCAGTCTCCTCTCGCAAAAGTAGAAAAACCAAGCTAAATTAATTACGCAGTACTGAGTTCCTTAATTATCCACGTGCTATCATTTATCTTTATGCGGAACATGTTATAATTTGACGTTTTCAGTTGTAAAGGACCTTCTATTTTTGCTTTTAGATGATCCCTTGCATGCTAATGGTCCCTGTAATTAATGAAACATTTATCAAATGAACAATCCGGTATCATATTAAGCATACGCATCGTGCACCCGGCTAAAGCTTATGCAAACAACGTTGAAATTTAAACGGAAGAGTAAATGTGGCATGAGAGGAAAGTTCTATTTATTAACATATAATTTAAAAACCCCTGGGGTAATATGTTTACGCTTAGCACTTATTTAGCTTTATTCCCCCGTTTGTTATGCTTTTTCTCGGTTCTAGAATACACAAGGCTAATATATATCCATGAATAGGGAGCCATGAATATGGGAGTCCGATTTGCGCACGACCCAAATTCAAACGGCTAGAAACGCAGATAAAAATACACAAATACAAATTATGAATAGGGCTAAGTAGAGGGCTCAGTGTTATTAATATGAACTCGCACTCGTTCGATGCCATAGATCACAATTATTTGCCGGTCCGACAGGCCCAATAAAGGTGGTGATAAGAGGCTTTACGGGTGCCTCATTAGCCACCCATCCGCTGAAACGAAATATTTCCGTGAACAATTGCCATGTGTATGATTGAGTCTTTTTCGTTTTTTGTATCCGTGTTTTCCTTCTGCCGGCAGACACGCAGTTATCGGAATATATAGACCCTTGTAACAATCTTGTCAATAGGGAGCACGTGTTTGCATTAGCATTACACGTCGACTTTGGCAATACACATCTCAAACTCAAATTACCAAAGACGGCCACAACAAAAGCTTCACCTTCTCTTGAATTCCAATTCCAATTCCAATCAATTTTCTACAGACGTCTCAAGATGCTGAAAAGTCTTAAGATGTGAAGAATTTTGCATAAATTTTTACAGCACATTTTTCTTAATTTGCCGCCAAGCTAAACAGAAATTCCCAAGTTGACGTAATTTATTAAACGAAAAACATATCAAAAATTTTACTTTCTTTTGGCCTCCGACCAAGCGGCAAATTAAGCTAACTGGTTTGTTTATAAATCAGCATCAAACAACAGCAAATGGCGACATATAACCAGACGATTCTTTTATTTGCCTCTTTCATGTGGCCGACATATTTTCAGGTAGTTGGAAATGCCCAAACCAAATACCATCATACCAATACAAAATACAGGAGATAGCAAAACAAAACATAAACAGAGATTTTTAGCCGCATTCGTACAATGAACTGTCGTATGCAAAATATTTGTGTTATGGCAAATATATTCAAAACAAGACAAACGATTTACATTCGAATGGTTGTTGATGTCGACTTTTGGATTCCCAGTCTCTTGAAAATAGGAATATTAAATAGTAATTATATTCTTATTTTCAATTTATTTTTGGAAACACATTTTATATATTTTCTTCCGTATTTTTTAATAGCTTTAAATCTTTTTTTTGCCTTCAAAGCTTATATATGTTAATATTACGAAATACAAAACTGTTATGATATCGATTCTCATATCGTTTTTAATATAGAGACCAAAAATACATCATTTTAAAATGTTCAGCTGATAACCTTTCTCAATTTTCCCAGTTCGTCGTTCCAAATTTTAAACAAGCTTTAAATAATTTAATAAAAATAGTAATAATAACATTTTTTAACGTTCAAACCAAATTATATTTTTAAGTTAGATTGTTGTGCAAATTGAGGAGTATAACCTTTACCGAAACATTTAATAATCATAAATATAAAAAATTAACATTTCCTTTTCGAAAATTATTCTGCATTATGCTTACCTTAAACATCTGATTTTTTATTGTTCAAATTAGGCAACACAACGTTTACCGAAACACTTAGTGATAAAAAAAAGATAATATATTGGCATTAACGTTTTTGAAAATTACTCTGCATTGTTATGCTTTCCTTCTAGGTGCTTAGAATTCCCGACTCGAATCGTTTGTTCTTTTGCGAAACTTGTTTTCCCGCTTCAGGTGCGGATATTCCCCGGATTAAAAATAGCTGTAGAAATTGGTGGTCGGCCACAAAAACCAAAACAAGATACCCAATTTCTAAACAGCTGCTCTAGAACAAGATGCTCATTCCACTTCCACTACTGTCATCTCTTTTTATCGCGATGTTGGCTTTCATTCATCCCGGTTTTGTTTCTAGTATAAATAGCTGCGGTCACAGCAGATTCAATTAGACGCCAAGCCAACCTCCAGAATATCAAAACCAAAGCCTTAGAATGTCGAAAATCCTCGCCGCCGTTTTCGCCTTCGTTGCCATCTTCTTCATCCTTGGCAACGCCGCCCCTGCCCCGCCCACTCAGGTCCTGGATGCCCAGACCGCCATCCAAAAGATAATCGGTGAGTTGGGAGCGAAATAGTTCAGAGGAACTGTCATCAGATGACATTAATATCCTTGTTTTTTGTGCTCTGCAGCTGCCTACAACCGCATTCCAGGACCTTCGGTTGTCTACCCTTGGGAGGTGGCCACCTTGATTGACCCCAACACCTTTGTGGCCCACTACTAAGGACCTCAACTCTGCTACCTGTCTACCTGTACCCAAATGCCCAAATAAATTGTAAAGAAATATAAGTTAAACCAAACAAATGGCTTTTATTAACACCCGAACTTGAGACTTAACTTTTTAATTAATGGTAAACCAAATAAATGTCCAATAATATCTAGTCTGTTATTTGCATTTTAATTACTGAGTTTTTTCGCTTACAATTCTTCACAGTTTTTGCAATTTACAAATTTTTGATTTCATTTGATAGTTTCGTTGAAACCTAATATGTTTTACTTAACCTACTAATTGGCAGTCAAATGGCCAAATGAATAGCAATAGTAATTTCAATAGTTTAGTAAATAATTGGAATTTATTTGTTGAAGCCGAATATGATTGCGTAAAAAGTCAGTGTAATTTAAATTATAGATTTTTATTTTGTCCCCTTGCATAAAAGGTCCCTAATCCGCATTCACAATAAGTCACACAATATATATATTTACGTTACATATTAAAATAATGCCTCTTTGGTCCACACTTAAAGAACTTGATAATTTAACTGCATTGAAGTGGCTTAATGGCATTAAAAGTAATTGTATGTAGTGAAGCTTCTAATTTGGCATTTAGCTAAACAAAAAAGGAAGTACGAGCTAAATAAATGTAAAGTTCTTGCTTTGAAATATATTCGTAATTCAGTAGTGTGTGCAAATATTGTTACAACGTTTAGCTAGGAAACATAGCTGAAAAACGGTTTAGGTTATCCAATTATTTATTTAAGTTATATTTCCAAGAAGTGCATTTCACTGGTACTGAAAAATTTCATTTGAAATCATTGCACCAATTATTCATATTTAGTTTTAATTTAGGTAATCGTAGTCAATGTTTATTTTCTAAAGCAAACCCAGTGTTTGTGAGGACCCTTCTGCTTTGATGAGTTTTGTGGCCGTAAGGGGATTTCCGTTCTGGGAAGTGCACCAAACTTTGCCACATTTTTGGCGGCAGATGCAGAGCTCAACTAAAGTTGTGTAACTCAGCGCAAGTAAAGTTTATTCAGTCCTGCGACTTATCGTGGCAGCAGAAGTTTTCTGGTCATTCGCCTTTTCCCCGCAACTCGCTTCAGGGACAATTTGATAATAAGTGGATTACCAAGTCATATGCCAAAGTAATCTTTCTCCACGGAATCTCATTCTGATGCACAAGATGCTCAAGTGTTTGCCCAGCTCTCGAGTCTGGGAAAAAGCGACTGTTCTTGGTCGAACACTTGAGAGATGCAATATTGTTATCACGCGATACGAAAGCCATTGATCCACGGGCTTAAAGCCAATGCCAGTGCCAATGCCAATGTCAATGCCAAAGTTAAAGCGCCGTCGATATTACATATTTGCAAAGCCCCATCATAAATGCATTTTAGATAAGTGCACGGGGGAAATGCAAATAGTCCTCGCGCAAAACACTCAAAAGCTAGCCAAGTGAAATAAATTGCCGAGTCGGCCATAAAAGCGTGTGCATATGGTGGATATATACCGCTTCTGTATTTCTTTTTACGACCCACGCATCTGACGTGACCCTCTGAAACATTTATGGAGAGGAACTAGATATTTGGCCAGTGAATTGGGCGCAACTTCTGCCTTGCCAACTTTAATTTACTTTAAATGAACTAGAAAACAGAATATGGTGACTCAACATGTCTTTTTTAAACAAAGCGAATATTATGAAATGATATGCTTTTTCATTGCATGACTAATTAATTGGCATGAATAATAATAAATTATTCATTCCAAGAGTCAATAATTTTGCTCGCACTTATTTTTTCAAATTTTCAAATTTAATTTTATTTAATATCGTATTATTCAAGAATAACCACGGGCCAAATAAATTATGTTCAATCCTCGTTGGCCTTAATTAAATGAAATTTCTTTTTTATTTTAATGTTTTTGCATTCAATATTTTTCATTTTTTTATTTGTGATAGAGTTGTTACGATTTTGTAGTTAAATGAGACGCCTTCTCCATTTTTAATATTTAATAATTCCACCGAGATATAAAACTAAAAAGAATTTAATCAAAATGTACATGTAATTTTGTGTTAATGAATACAAAGCACTATTTAACTAAATTTAACTAGATCGCTTTGATGAAATGTCCCAGTTCACATTGCAATAAATCGAGGGCTAAAAGAGTTGAATTTTTCCAATCAAATTGTCAACATGTTGTATTAGTTCTGAAGGCCCTGTTTACATCGCGGTATTTGTTTGGTAAAACTTTTCCAATTGCAAATACATTTGTCCGAGTTTCTTTTTGCAATATATTAAAAGCGTTGCCTGAACGACCCGCTTTACTTACTTTTGAACTAATTGCTCCTTAATTGGTGCATAGTTAGTAGTTCCGCTTTGGCAAGTTTATTGGCAGCCCCTAGCAATTAATTAGTTTGCGTGGTCGACGTCGCCTAAGTTATATGTTTATGTCCCTGACAATGGGATTTTACGAGCGCTTTTAACGACTGGCTCTGAGCCAGCATCTTGGCCAGCTCAACAGCCCAACAGCTGGCAAAACAAAGTTTATCTCGATCAGGAATTCCCCGTGGAATGCAGAAAACTGGGTGGCAAGCTTAACGAAGCCCAGCCCAATCAATTTGGAGACAGAGAAAGATTTCTCGCATGCGCCGGTCGCATAAATTTGTTAACCGCTTTCAAACTACATCGATTCGGTTCGATTTGCATTGCAAATTAGGCCCCCAGTGCAAAAACCAATATAAATAGACCGAGACTTACCTGCCATCATCCGAGCGACTCCTAATCTCGCCCACCATCTAGGCGAACCTCTTTAATTATGCAAATAAATGGCGCCACAAGAACGTGCTAAAAAATAAAGAAAAGATGGAGACAAATAAACACATAACATTTTTAGAAATCTGATAAATATCAATTTCAGGCAACACGTTAATAAAAGCAAGGGAGGAACACTTTTTAAAGGCTAATTCGACTTTAAAATACCCTTTAAAATATCTGCTTAATTTCGTTTATAGGAAAATTAGCAATCTTTAGGCTTAAGCTTTATTTTTAAAATAATATGATGGCTATAATTGTATACCAGTACGAGTACCAACTTTAAAATACTCCTTAAAATATCTGCTAAATTAGCAGTTTAGTTTATAGTTATTAATTTATAGGAAAATTAGCAGTCTTTATTTTAAAATACTACAATACCCAATATTTGTATACTACTACCAATACCAACATGATATTTTGGTGATTTTTAGCAAACACATTATGCCGTATTTCCTTTTTTGAGTAGAGGGTGAACTTGCTTAAATTCCCGACATATGGTGAGGATATCAATTACCATCAGACATTTACCATTAGCCATCAGTCAATGACTTCATTTGCTTTTCTAACAGGTTTGTTGGTATATCTTACGCACATATGCATTACATTATCTTTATTGTTTGCCGGGCAACAAATTTACAACAATGATAAATTAATTGCTTTAGTCTATTATAGAATTAACAGGTAAATCTTAGGTGCTTAGTTATTTGCATCAATAACTATTAAATAGGTTTTATTGTTTACTGGAAAACCAATTTAGGCAACAAAAATAAATTAAGTGCTTTAGTCTAATATGTTCTTAGCAAGTAAATCTTCTGACAATGCAATTATGTGCATGAATAATTAATAAATTGGTTTTCATTTCATATTTGCTGATAATGTAATTACAATAGATTGTGCGAACTCTGTGGTTATAATTTCCTATAAAAATATTCTTGTTATACAGTAACATAATAAGCAGAAATTTAATAGCATTAGTTTTTCGTTACATATAAAAAGAATCGTTTATTATTTCCAATCACGTTATTTTAATATACATTTTTCTTTGTTTTAGGCAATTAAAAGTAATTGAATGTGGAATGTTTTTAAAGCTGGCAAATTAAAATACACGTACGCATTCAAACACGCAAAACTGAAAAAACTTTAATTCTTTTCTGCTAAATGAAAATGTGTATTTTAATTAGCCTTTAAAACAAGACACATAACAATATTACTGTTATGTATTGTAAGCAATATAAAAAACGAACAGCCCCAAAAAATATGCTACAAAAAGCAGGCAACTTTAAATCCTTTCGCATCATCAAAGGCAGCTTAATCTTCCCCAAACATATAATATGCAACGTGTTAGTAAATGCTTTTTGGAGTTTAGCAGGTGATTCATGTGTCGGATAATCTAAATTTACCTCAAACTTTTCGTTCTTCTCGGATAATGGAAAAGTTAAGGAAAAACTCTTGAGGCAAGCAGATTGCCTGGCATGTGCGAATATCGATGGGTATAACGATCCAAAAGGGGACGATGTGAAAAGATGCGTGAGCTGTGGACACGCGACATTAACCTCGATGATGGGTGACAGTTTTTCCGGCATTTGAAGCTCATCTCAGGCGAAATGTGCCTGCGTGGGCCAAACCTTACCCATCAAAATTGATGGCTCACGGAGCCCAGTAACTTATAACCATAAACGAAGCATATGCCAAGCCAGCTCGACAATGGAGCCTCTGTTCCACAGCCAAATGACCGTAAAGGACCGACTAATAAAAGCGAAATCAAACAGCAATCATTGCAATTACACCAAGGACTTGTTACGGACAACAAAGCTAAACCGAACTGAACTGAAGTGAACTGAACCCACTGAGATTATTAGCATAATCCAACAGACTTTCAATTCAGTTGGAATTCAAACAACTGGCAACTGTCGTCAGGGTCAACAAACTGTAATTGAATTTTTATTAAATTCCATATGCATGTCCTTTTGAGCCAAGTTTGATGACTTGCCTGTCAGCTCCAATTTATGGTTAATGTATGGCTTCATTTACATTTTGTATTATTTTTGATGGCTTTCATAAGTTGTCAAATTGAGTTTAACTTTGTTATAATAATTGTTGATAAAAAACAAGGCTGGAAAAATATACTTATTGCAATCGAGAATTTATCAGGATTTTTAGGGACAAAAAAAGGCTATAAATATATGTATATTCAATTGATAGCATATACGCTTTTTTCTATTAAAGTAATAACTAATTCTTTATTTTTCATATTATTACAGTTTCCATAGAATTATTGTCTTGCAAAATTCCTTGTTAAATTTAAGACAAATAGGTACTGAACGAACAGCAAAAGTTTTGCATTCTTTGTATTTTATATTAAATTCTCCGCTTTCATTTGGAATCCAAGTTACGTGGCTCGCAGTTAAAGGGAAATCGCGCTGATACTTTATAGAAAAGGTTTATTTATTACATTTCTCCATTTATTGCTTTCCTTTTTCATTTTTATTTCGAGCATAAAGGTAGACACGATATAGTCAATCATAAATCAAAAAGGGCTCCCTTTTATGGGGGTCGCTAAAACAGCGGGCTACGACATCCTGGCGACACCTGTCAAAGAGTGTGTTCGTCCATGCTGGACACCAATTAATCATGCCAGTATATATTCATCTATAAAATAGATGCATATAGCTGGAAAACTACGTCAGGGAGTGTCCACTCGATTCACCTGAAATTTTCCGCAGGGAGTGTCCATTCAGTTTACTCTTTACATAATCTATTTGACGGCAATCAGTGAAATAGCTTTGCAGGTCAGTCAAGTGCAGATAGGATTACTTGCGTAACCGGAAATGCGATAGTTTACAGAAATTTGTGTGGTTAACAATTGACACAAAAGGCATTTATAAAACAGCCCACTCGCTGGCGAAAACCCTTCCAGGAAAAATAAATCAGATAAATCAGAGACGCCCATAACTTGGTCAACCCCCGGGGTTTGACATTCTTTTTTGTTCTGGCAAATGACAGCCAAGTTATGGCTGCGAACAATTCAGATTTATGTTTGATTATATAAGATTTTCGCATTTTTGCCTGCCCTCTTTGGTTGTTCCCTGAATTTGGTTTAGCTGTAGACATATCGCGAAAAATAATTTAAATTGTTTTCGTTCGCTTAGAGCAAAATTTCCCCCTTCAAAGTAGTTCATCTCATCTATCCAATAAATTGAGTGTCTGGTTAAATGGTTTTTATGGGTGTTTACACTTTGACAGCTATTAAAACAGCTTTGCATTTGCTGATTAAAGCTGTGGTTCAAAGAAATCCCTTTACGGACTAAGCTTGAGCTTCACTTTTGCACATTGGCAGTGGCGTAGAGAGGGGTTTTTGGGGTTAAAGCCTTCTTAAAGATTAGAGACGAAATATTAATTAATTTAAATGAATGTGAGCCATTTTAATAATATCATTTGGTTGGTAAAGGGTTTTCAGAACACATTTTTTGAAGCAATCTTTTTATGGACTAAATGTTTTACCCCTTTTTACTTGAAGGAGGGGATTAAATCCCTAATCTCTTCAATTTCGATAGCTAAAAACAATGAAACTAGGTCGATTTGGACCGTTGCGACTTATATACACCTGCAATAAAAATAAGAGTTTTTATAGTTTTGTGTAGAAAAGGACAAACGGAAAACGGACAAACGGACAAACGGACATGGCTAATTTGAATCGCATCAAGAATATTAATACTTTATAGGTACGGAAATGTGCGTTGCAAATTTTTAACTGTATCTATAATACCCTAAGCAAGGGTATAAAAAGTAAAATGTAAATATTTGTATTAAGCATTTTGTAAGCCGCAATCTTTTTGATGCCCTAATCGATTAGGTTGCACGTAATCCGTCAAGCCACAACGAAGGCCAAAATTCTGTAAAGTCATTATCGAATTAAAGGTGTTCTCAAGGAGACGCAATAAATAACAAGGCTACACAAAAGGCCAACTAGATGGATCAACAATTGCGTGTTACACAAACTCGGGATGGGATTTCCCTTTTTTGTTTAGCCAGCCTTTTTGCAAATTCATCCAGCTCCCGTCTTTTATTGCGCGTTAGCTTATGCTAAATAATGGCCCGAATGGGGTAGAAATAAGTTGGCTGGCATTGGCATGTCCTAAACGATTTTCTGGGAAATGCAGCGTGTCAAGTGGAAATTGCTGGAAAGCTCATTAAACTCAATCAGCTGCACTGGCTCTTTAGGAGCGTTCAAGGAAAAGATGATTGGCGCAGACTAATTAGGCTTAATTTAATCAAACAGAAAGTTGACATTCTGTGTACTTTGTCTGCCAAGTTGGCTGGTACGTCGTCATAACAGTAAGATGATCACAATGGCTTAATTAAAGGGTTGTTAAGAAAAACAGATAAATATTTAAAGCAGCTGTGCTGTGCCCCAGGCCAGAGATAACTTGGTGTAGCACCATTCGAAGACTTGAGAAAAGCCAACGGAAGCCATAACCCACTTTGCCAGTTCGCCATGAAAAAATTATGCAAACGATGCAGATCGTTAGAAAAGGGGCAACGCAAGGTCCTTGGTCCTGCGAAAGTTGCCAACTTTTCTGTTTACTATCCATCGCGAACTTCGGCGGCACTCAAAGCTTTGCGATGTTAATTTTATTTCATTTCATTATGTTCAAGTGTTCACTCGGTGCGCTTTTCTGTGGCTCAATGGGGGATTTCCGCCTCAGATTCGCTTACAACCTGAACCAGCAACCTAAATTAATAAGTAGCTGCGAGATATTTGCCAAAACAAAGAAATGAATACCACCACAAACCAGCTTGCGGTGCTCGTAATACTCTTGGCCATTTTTCACTGTATGCTACCTTTCTATTCCACGTATGTGGCAGACTTAAAAGGACTAGGTGAGTACACAACTTTTCAATTTAGCCCGGCCCAAAAGAAAAGCCGAAAAGCAAACGGATTTTTTTCATGCAATTTCGGTAAAAGCGTATACAAAATACCAGGATACAAGCAAAATATTCTGATAAATTCACAAGAGTGTGGTAAACATATTTTTGAATTTTTTTAATCTGCGCGTCGAATTACATTTTGATGAATTTATTATATGTTAAAACATTAAGGAGCTTAACTTTATTTAAGTAGCTTTTAATAATCATTTAACATTCGAATTCCGCGCATTAAATGTGTAAATTTGTAAAATTTATTTCTGAAGTGTATAATTTCATTTTATACATTTTTCAACTATTCAAACAAATATTTAATGCTTGATATTTACATTTTTTCATACCGTAAAACTTACCAACAGCTTTTATAATTTATATTGAAATTGTTTATATAGAAACCCAGCGATGCAAAAATACATTGAGCAAAGCATTCCTTTCCAACTCAATACACGATTGTGTGCTTAAATATTCATAGAAAGCGTCCATAAACTAAATTGGATGAAAATATTTTTAAATTTGTTTACAATTGCTCAGCGAAAACGTTGAAATTTTTGCTCCGAATTAAGTTGCTCAGAAGAGGGGAAACGGAATTTCTAAAATAGCAACCCATTCAGCCATTAAGGCAAAAATAAAACTGAAATTTATTTCTCAATTTCTCAATTTCTGCTTTTATTTAACACTTGTACAAGCAATCACTTGATATGCTAAAAGCTATATTTATTTATTTATTTTCATGTTATTTCCCTTGGGGCTGTCAAAACGTTGGGCAGTATTTTAATCACTAAAAATTCACGCAGACAGATCGCCAATGAATGACAGCCTATTTGTTTGTTTATATATGCAAATGGCTGTCTGTGTTTTTTGGATTTAGCACTGGGCAAAATCTCTACCGCACGCGATGAGAGCCCAATTCAAACTGAGGAAAAATTTAGAATTTTCTGAAAATCACAGAAATTTAAACCAACTCGTGGCACGTGCTAGGGCGAAACTTTGTCGATTTGAATTCGGGAAATAATAAATCGCCGAACGGAAACTTTTACACGAAACACATTATGGTTCATTTTGGGACAACACTTGAATTTCCCTAATTAATTGCTCAAGATACAATTTCTCTTAAGTTATAATGACTTTGGCCCAAGTTCAGGACATCACTCAACACTCCGACGGAAGGTGAAATCAGGACAAAACACAAGTTTTGGCCATTTGACTTCTGCTTTTAGTTGGCATAAGGCTGAAAATAGGAGCATCTTAAAATACTTTGATAAATTAATAGTCTCAAGTCGGAATTCTGCTTACGGGTCAGTCTATCAACAATTGTGAACTTGCATCTTGACAGGCACCTCAAATTGAAAGTGCTGGGGATTATTTTAAGCTTGTGGTGCTAAAAGATTTCATTGGTTACTTGGTTTTTACGTTTTATTCTTTTTCACTAAAATGGTAGTGATGTTCCATTTAATATCCCGTAACTAGAGCAAATTTTTAAAAAGAACATAAAGCTTGAAGCTTATTAGGTTAATTCCTTTGTCTTTTAAAGACCTCTTTCCAACGCCTAATAGAAATTATGAAGTCATAAAATCGGGTACCTTAAAATAATTAAAAAGGGAAGTTAAGGTAGCTTTTTGTGCTAACTTACTTAAGAACAACTATTTTCACTCCATACTTGTGCTAGAAAATATTGTTTAAATAAGCATTCTACCTTTATAAAAATCGAACTCACTAGCGAATGAGTAAGAAAAGAACTTCGATCAAATATTTTATTGCCCTATTTATGCCAACTGCAGGCTCTGTAAACCTTGTTAAGCCAGGTTTTCATACGTTCGCAAACACATTTTCACTAAAGGCCACACAATTCCTCAGAGAATTGTCATGGGTGAAATAAAACTATTACACTTTTTGTATCTTGATGCAAACATGTCGCTGTGAATGGATTTCCAGTTATTGTGTGTATATAGGCTTACTACGTGTAATTAAAAACCAGAGTTAGTAAGACAGCAAACAACAAAATAACAAAAAGGAACTATCAAAGGGCAAATATAGTTGCACGAAAAACTAGTTTGGTCAGCAGTTCACTTTTACGTCAGAATGGCCCGTAAAAGTGAAGTATATTTGTACAAGGTATATGCCATGGACAGCAAATATCGTATCATAATAAAATATTTGGCAAAAATAAATACAATAAGGAGCATATTTTGGACTGCCTGTCCATCTCTTACTTTTTCCTCACCTTTTCCCTACTTTTTTGCGGCAGACAAATTAATTAACGAAAGTGCATTTAAATTACCTGTAAGGAATTGACCACTGGAAGGCAATGCGTTAAAAAGCTCAAGGGATAAACATTTTTTCTTGTACCTGTTAAGTCTGACATGAAAAAGGATGTCTCGCAGCTTTGTTTGCCGTTGGCATTGTACTTGGTAATGTGCCGATGCAACTACGTACACAGTAAAATAAATGTTTTAAAATTTATTGAGTATTTCAGGGAATAAAATATGAATTAATGAGAGCAATCCCTTAAAATTACTAAAAATAGAGTGTTAATGTACACGTCTTATAAGAATAAGACAAGGTTTAATTTTTAACTTACTATTTTCAGATATTTCAACAACAGTTTAACAATTTTTGGCTTACAAATGTTACATATTATTTAAGATCTGCTTGCCACTTTTCTACCCATATTTAAAAAACCACAAAAAGAAAGAAAAGCAATATGTTCCGTGGACTCCCGCCTAACAATTTAAAAACTTCAGTCTGCCGGGAAAATGTGCCCCTTTCACTGGGAATACACATCAATTGTAAATCATTGCGAGCTGCGAAACACAACAACCGTTTTGTGCAAATTTTTGCATGAACTCTGGCCATTTATCTTCATTGGAAAGAAGCCCTGGATATTGGCGAATGATTCCTTTCAATTAGAACAACACCCATGGTGGATTCTAAGGAAAGACAGGGACTGAAAGGCACGTGCACATTAAGGACACCCACATAAATTAAATTTATTCTTCAAAATGGGCACCAGGATCTGACTCTTTTGCAGACATGGCAACGTCGTTTTTACTTCGTTAGCTGCTAGACAAACGACTTGTTGGCCAGAACACTCTTAACAAATGCAGAAATTGATGGCCTCTTGTTTGCAACAACATGGTTGTTTGAGCCGGGAAAACTTTTTAAAACAAAAAGCTTTCCACATTAAATCCTATTTCTAACTTTCAATAAAGTAACGAAAATGACCCTTACAATATTTCAAAGGAAATATTCAACATGTGTTGTTAGCAAGGCTCAGCGTTTTATATTTCTTGTGCTCCAGTAGTCACAAATAATGCAAGTTAGTCGTGTGCTGAATATAGAAATTTAGAACTAACGAAACTAAATTGTGCAGTGAAAGCTGATCAACTAAAACTCAAGTTAATATAGTTGCTAAATTTGAGGTGTAATCAAATAAAATATTTATTTAGAAAGTAACCAGGTCGTAAAGAGCTCTTTTAATAGTATTAGAATATTAGACATATTCAATAAAAAGAAGGTAAAGTAACTAGCAAAAAAGGGTAATTATAAACTGAATAATTAAATACAATTTAAAGTATGGAAAAGGTTCAGAGTCTGCCTCCATTTTTTTGCAATATTTTATAGAGAAACGAGAAAAGAAGTAAACGTCGGCAAACCGAAGTTTATATACCCTTGAAGCTATTAAAAAACGACTACATTTCAATTTGTATGCCTATATTACTAAAAACAATGAAGCTATGTCGATTTTGCACTGCATTATCGGATTAAATTTGGTAAAGTTATGGACTCTAGAAGTCCAATTCGAAGTCACTCTGTTACAAGATATCGGAAAATTAGAAAAAACTAACATGGAAATGGGTGAAAAATTTGATTAACAAAAAGTGGAAAATTTTGAATGCAGTTTTTCAGAGAATTGAATCACAAATCTTTAGAGGTATGCCACTTTGGAATCGGATTAAATTTGGTAAAGTTATGGACTCTTGAAGACCAATTTTGAGTCACTGTATTACAATATATCGGAAAATTCGAAATAACCAACATGAAAATGGGTCAAAATTTTGATCAACGTTAAATTGAAAATTTTGAATGCAGTTTTTCAGAGAATTGAATCACAAATCTTTAGAGGTATGCCACTTTGGAATCGGATTAAATTTGGTAAAGTTATGGACTCTTGAAGACCAATTTTGAGTCACTGTATTACAATATATCGGAAAATTAGAAATAACCAACATGAAAATGGGTCAAAATTTTGATCAACGTTAAATTGAAAATTTTGAATGCAGTTTTTTAGAGAATTGAACCACAAGTCTTTAGAGGTATGCCACTTTGGAACCGGATTAAATTTGGTAAAGTTATGGACTCTAGAAAACCAATTTTGAGTCACTGTATTACAATATATCGGAAAATTAGAAATAACCAACATGAAAATGGGTCAAAATTTTGATCAACGTTAAATTGAAAATTTTGAATGCAGGTTTTTAGAGAATTGAACCACAAGTCTTTAGAGGTATGCCACTTTGGAATCGGATTAAATTTGGTAAAGTTATGGACTCTAGAAGACCAATTTTGAGTCACTGTATTACAATATATCGGAAAATTCGAAATAACCAACATGAAAATGGGTCAAAATTTTGATTAACGTTAAATTGAAAATTTTGAATGCAGGTTTTTAGAGAATTGAACCACAAGTCTTTAGAGGTATGCCACTTTGGAATCGGATTAAATTTGGTAAAGTTATGGACTCTTGAAGACCAATTTTGAGTCACTGTATTACAATATATCGGAAAATTCGAAATAACCAACATGAAAATGGGTCAAAATTTTGATCAACGTTAAATTGAAAATTTTGAATGCAGGTTTTTAGAGAATTGAACCACAAGTCTTTAGAGGTATGCCACTTTGGAATCGGATTAATTTGGTAAAGTTATGGACTCTAGAAAACTAATTTTGAGTCACTGTATTACAATATATCGGAAAATTCGAAATAACCAACATGAAAATGGGTCAAAATTTTGATCAACCTTAAATTGAAAATTTTGAATGCAGGTTTTTAGAGAATTGAACCACAAGTCTTTAGAGGTATGCCACTTTGGAATCGGATTAAATTTGGTAAAGTTATGGACTCTTGAAGACCAATTTTGAGTCACTGTATTACAATATATCGGAAAATTCGAAATAACCAACATGAAAATGGGTCAAAATTTTGATCAACGTTAAATTGAAAATTTTGAATGCAGTTTTTCAGAGAATTGAATCACAAATCTTTAGAGGTATGCCACTTTGGAATCGGATTAAATTTGGTAAAGTTATGGACTCTAGAAAACCAATTTTGAGTCACTGTATTACAATATATCGGAAAATTCGAAATAACCAACATGAAAATGGGTCAAAATTTTGATCAACCTTAAATTGAAAATTTTGAATGCAGGTTTTTAGAGAATTGAACCACAAGTCTTTAGAGGTATGCCACTTTGGAATCGGATTAAATTTGGTAAAGTTATGGACTCTTGAAGACCAATTTTGAGTCACTGTATTACAATATATCGGAAAATTCGAAATAACCAACATGAAAATGGGT